TGACAAGTGTGGAAAAGCCTTCATCCAGAGCAAGTACCTAGGGAAGTATGAGAAGATTCATACCAAGGTGACAGCCTGTGAGTGCAATCTACTTGGGGAAACCTGTGACCAGAGTGTGCAGCTCATTGGCCGTCAGAGCACCCATGCTGATGTGGAGCCAGGTGAATGCACTGAGCCTGAGAAACGCACAGATAAAACCTCTGTCGCTGAGCACCAGCCTTCCCAAAGTGAGTGCCCCTTTAAATGTAACAAATGCGACAGGACCTTTAGCCAGAGTGCCCACCTTTTGAAACATGAGTTAATTCACATTGAAGAGAAGCCATTTAAATGCAATGAATGTGACAGAGCCTTCAAGCAGAGTAACTACCTTATTCAGCACCAGAGAACTCATGCCATAAAGAAGCACTTTGAGTGCAGTGAGTGTGGGAAGACATTTCATCAGAGCTCATGCCTTTCTAAGCATCAGAAAATTCACACAGGGGAGAAGCCCTTTAAATGTGGTGACTGTGGGAAATCCTTCCTTTTGGGTGCCCAACTCATCCGACACCGGAGAATTCACACTGGGGAAAAACCTTATGTTTGTCAAGAATGTGGGAGGGCCTTTGGCCAGAGCTCAGGCCTTTCTCTTCACCGTAGAGTTCACACTGGTGAGAAGCCATACACATGTAGCAAGTGTGGGAAAGCCTTCTCCCAGAAAGCAAATCAAATGAAGCATGAGAAGATTCACAGTGGAGAAAAGCCTTATGCCTGTGACGTGTGTGGTAAAGCCTTTGGCTTCAGCACCCATCTCAGTCAACACCAGAGAATTCACACCCAAGAGAAACCATATTGTCACAAAGCCTTTTACAGCTCTTCTGCTCTTAGCAAACATGAGCAGCTCCACAGCTGTAAAGTAACAGGTAGCACCGCTGAGAGCCACGTGGTGCCAGCAGAGTCCCACACTTCTGAAGGCGTTCATGTGAAGTCAGCCATTGAAACCAACACATTGCAAACCTCCCCTCCTGATAAGTCCTAGTAAAAATCGGCAAGACACATTATACAGGCTCGTTTCATGCAGACCAGCAATTCTCAGCTCTCCTGATGTTGCGACCTTAGTTCCTCATGTTGTGGTGACTCCAACCATAAAATCATTTCATTGCTACTTCATAACTGTGATTTTGCTACTGTTATGAATTGTAATGTAAAGTTTTCCGATGGTCTTAGGAGACCTTTTGGATCCTAAGGGGGTTAAGACCCAGAGGTTGAGAAGCGCTGAATCTGAAGCTGTGCAATGTCAGCATTCAGTGGTAGACTTTGGAGCCAGTCCACCTGAGCCGAATTCCAGTCCTGTCATCCTAAGTAGCCTTGTGAAAGTCATAACATTTTTCCAGTACTTCATTTTCCTCATCTATAAAATGGGCATAAAATTCACATCCCTCAGGGCTGTGGTGAGAATTAAATAAATTTCAAGCACTTTATACCTGGAACATGCATAGTTCACTGAGGATGAACTATGGATGAGTGTCTAACTATATAGCATGAACACACTTATGTTGAAGATGAAAACTTGTGAACCGTTCACTGTGGCTAATGTTCATTGTAGCATATATAGCTTTTAAGATTTTCCCATTTACCAGTTTTTGCTCAACTCCCTACTCTTTTTAAATACCTGGCCTTTTCCTTTCCCTCCATCTCTTCTCTGTTCTAGATTTTTTTTTTTTTTTGTCACATGTAAATTCATAAAGTAACTTTCTAATTGCAGATTGCTAAAACTTTACTCAAATTCCAGGCTTGGAACTCGGGTATCCTCTTCACATGCCACCTTTTCTTATAACCTCCCTCCATTTGTACGATGTATACACGAACCAAGTTTGTCGTGAAATGAATGCCTGCAGACATCTTGCTTCCTGCTTGAATCTTCCTCACAGCAGGGGAAGTTAGGAGACTGCCTGCGATGCTAAGATGCTAACGCATAAGGCAGCATGCATGGAAGACATCGCTGGTGGAAACTGTGTACGACAGCGTTTGCAGGGATGTTGGCCACGTTGCCGGGCAGGCATTCTGCTAGGCTGCAGATCAGGTACATTAATAGGACGGCCCTTACTCCCAGCCTTTCTGGAACAAGAAACAAACAGGACCCAGGCACAGGATTTTCTCATCTGACAGGTACCATCTTAAAAATACCTCCTTTATGTCAGCGGAAGTTCTTAGGCCACCAAGGATTGGTCACCCAGAGGGCAAGAGTCCTTGTTGGGACTCTTAGCTTATCTAAGCCCTTCCTATTAGAAACCTCATGGAAACTGTTCCATAGCGCCTCCTTGCCAGCCCGAGGGCTTTGTGTTCTACCTACTGAGCAGCCCCATTATATACTAAGCACAGAAGAATCTTATGGGCATGGACAATTAATACTTACCACATTTGGGATGCTTAAAATAGCAGTGTATGTGCCCTTGTTTTTTAATTTTAAAAGTATGAAACAAGATCTTTTTTTTTCTTCAGGTTTAATGACCATTGTTATTACCATAAATAAATCATTTCTGCCCACTGAAGTCTGCTCACGCAGAGTATCAGGTCACCTCCCATCCAAAACGTTAATCAAAGTTTTCTGCACCCCAACCCTTCACAAAACAGAGCTCAATAATAAAAATAGCAAGATGATATATACCCTTGGCTATCCTGGAACTCACTGTCTAGTTTCAGGCCTGCCTCCCAAGTACTGTGATGAAGGTGTGCACACTATGCCCAGCCTCTATTTTTTTTTTTTTTTTCTTTTTAAGATTTGCACCTTCTTGGGGTCCTCTGGCTGGGACTGTATTTGATATGGGAACCTAGCTGACCTTTGGGTCTAGGCTAGAATGTTGAGCATCCTCTTTCAAACAGAGTTTAATTTACAGCACGTCATCGCTGCCCTCTGGGACTAGCGACTCTAAGAAACTAACAGGCTGTTTACACAGAGTATAGGCAGACTGTCTAAAGACAGGAACACCCACACTGGTGGGGTCTTGTTGTTGTTGCTTTAAAGGGTGCTATTGTTGGAAGAAGCTCTTGGAAGGATACAAGTTGTCTCCAGCACTTAAGTCTGGTGGTGCACAGCCTCCTGTCACTCCTCCTCTAGGGGATCCCACACCTGGCCTCTTAGGGAGCTGTCCTCAGGTGCCTGTACCCACTCACAGGCATGCATGAATACACAATACAGGAGATACTTTAAAGAAGTGCTCAGTCAGCAGGGCGAAGCACACCTGGGATCCCAGCACTCAGGGAAGCAGAAGCAGGCAGATTGCAGTGAGTTCAAGGCCAGCTTGGTCTACAAAGTAAGTCCAGGATAGCCAAGGCTACAAAAAGAAACCCTGTCTCAAAAACAAAACAAGAGTGCTCAGTCAGTTTGGGCCCCAGTGATAAGACCAGAAGTCTATGCAAGTTGTTGGCCAGGGTGGAAGTGGGGTTTGGGCACTTGTTTCTCTGATTTATGTTTTGATCATAATGTTGGCTCTTCCGCTCGTCACAGTTCTATACATTTGAGGAGCTGCTGGCCAGGCAGCACCCCTGCTCACATGCTCACGTGCTGGGGAGATGGGGGTTGTCTCCATGAAAAGTTCCAGCTGGACGGAGACAAAGTGAGGTCAGAAGTACTCTAGGTTTGTGTTACAGAGGAAAGAAAAGAGGGCAGTGGGGCATGGAGTGTGAATATGTCCTGTCCTGGCTACTCTAACAACCAACCATACACTTGGTAGTTTATACACAAAACCATCTCCCACAGTGCTGGAGGCTAGAAGACCAAAATCAAGGTTTGGGCAAACTTGGTGTCTGAGAGGATCTGTTTCCTCAATTCATAGGTGGCACCTCCTGCCAGTGATGAATGAAAATTCCTAAGGCTCATTTCATCAAGTCCTCATATCTGTCATGGTGTGTGTTAGGTTTCCAAGTAGGAGCTTGGGGACACATTCAAGTCATAGCTGATGTGGAAAGCATAAGGGAAATGAGTGCTAGGGAAAGGCCAGTCTGAGAAGCTGATTTAGTTTCAAACTTACGGCCATGTGGGCAGAGAACATCAGGTAAATGTGCAAATCTGGGAAAGCCCGATGCATTTTCAGGGATGAGATGCTTTCTGTGTGAGTTTCTATGTTGCTGGGACATAAACCTAAAAAAGTGGGTGGGTACCTTGCTACCGTGAAGGGTAATCCTACCCCCAGCATGAACCAGTAGGGCCAGAGAGATGGCTTACAGGTTAAGAGCCATCTAGTCCATCCCCAGCACCCACATCAGGTGGCTCTCAACCACCTGGAAGTCCAGTTTCAGGCAGTGGAAACCCTCTGCTGACCTCCATAAGCACCCACACCCCAAACACACACAAATAAAAAAGATTTTAAAAATAAACCTAAGCAGAAATGAGGTAGTGCAGTGTGAGCAGAGCACCGACCGACAGGAGCCGCAAACACCTGCGTCCCTGCTCCAAGGGCAGCTTTCGCACTGTATCAGCCAACATTTCCCTTCAAGCACAGCGCTCTAGGAAATCGCCATTTAACGAGCCACTAAACAGGAGGTAGTGACACGACACCTGGAACAGCCCGGCTCTTTGTCGGTGGAAGCAGGAGAATCAGAAGGTCAAGGTCAGGGCTGGGGAGGCGGCTGGAGGGAGTGCTGAGACTCGGACTTTGAGGAATCCTCCCCACAAAGAAGGCACAATGGAAGAAAGGGTTTTTACCACATTCCTAACTGGGAATAGGATGAGAATGTGTAGCTAGAGCAGGCGGAAGTCGAGCAGTGACTTGGAGCGCTCACATTCAGCACTGACGCCCTATACAAACGTGCGTGATGACAGGAACTGCTGCGGTTCAGCAAGATGAAGCTTCTCGCCATCTGTGCACACACCTGCACACATGCACAAACACAGATAAATGTAATTGAAAATAAACATGTACAGTAAAGGACCAGTTATAATTTTTAAAAAGGGAGAGGAAGACAGGCCAGGCAGGGGTCCAACAAGCCCGTACAGAAAGCCCTGACCTATGAAAACCCACAGAAGGCAGGGAACCCCATGGTTAGAAGTTCGGTGAGGGCTGTGGCGGTACACGCCTCTAATCCTTGCAATGGGAGACTGAGATAGGAGGCCAGCCAGAGCTACAGAGCAAAACACTTTCAAAACGGTAGAAAAGGTGAGTCAGCCTTCCCAGGCAGGGCTCAGCCAATGCCAGGAGGTTCCGGTAGTCTGCTCCTGGCCAGGCTCCATCTGGCCCCACTCCTCCATGGTGAAGCCGTCCACCACATCCTTGCCGGTCAACTGTGCAAAGGTGGAGCAGCAGCAACTGTGCAACAACCATGCAGAGGGGGACCAGCAAAGAAAAGCCAGCGTCTCACCAGCGCCGCACAACATTTCCGTGCGTCTTTCCTGCCCTCTGCTGGAAGGCCTGTGCAATGCACTAATTTCTTCCCTTCCTCCTCCTCCTCCTCCTCCTCCTCCTCTCTTCTTCCTCCACCTCCTTCTTTTTGGAAATGGTCTCACTATGTAGCATTAGCTGACCAAATTCAAAATGATCCACCTGTCCCTACCTCTTGAACACTGGAATTAAAGGTGTGTACCACCATGGGCCTCACTTCTTGGTACTCATTTACTGACTGAAAATTATCACAATAAATACATGATTGGATAAGGGGCTGAGCTGAGCTTGTGTGGTGTGTACATGGCAGCTGTAAGACAGACATGCTACACCCACTGTGTGCAGGATATGTGACGAAGTCTTGAACTCTCCTAGACCGGATCTCTGATTCCATCCCAAGACCCTGGTGGACACAAACATCCTACTCCCACTTCCTGGGTGACCTAAAGTCTGCTGGACTTTGTCTTGAGGGCTCCTCTCAGAGTGTGCTGAGCCTGTCCTCCCAAGTCCCTACAGTTCCCAGCAATAAAGGTTTCCCCCTCACTATGGCCCTTCCCTAACGGGGGAAGGATAAAAGAATGTCACATTAGACATGGACAGTATTCATTGAGGGTTAGAGGGTCACCTAGACCAAGGGAGCCCAAACTCATTTCTCTTGGTTCTAAGACCCTGGCCTAGGGAACAGGGTCTGGTATATTCCAGGCTCGTCACAACTGATGGTGTGTTCAGATTACTTTGCATTTTTGATCCTCCTCGCCTCCACCTTCCAAGTGCTACATCTACAGGCTTGCACCTCCACACCCTATTTACACAGTGCCGGGGGTTGAACCCAGTTTCCCGAATGCTACGCGTGCACTCTGCCACCCAGCCCCTTGATTTTATGTAGGTCCTGGGAATGGAACTCAGATCCTCAAGCTTGCAAAGTGAGGACTTTACTGGCTGAGCTATTTCCCTTGCCTGACCTTGAAGTGATCCTTTCCTGGCCACCTTCCACGCACTGGGATTCCAAGTGACACCAGCACCCTGGCTTATTCCCCCCCGGGGGATGGGACCCGGAGCTTTGTGCATGAAGGTGAACAATCTACCAACACTATACTTTACTGGGATAGCTGTAAGGTTGTCTAGGGTTTTTCTTTCCCTTCTTCTTCCTTTCCACAACCTCCCCACTGAAGTGTAGCCATTGTCCTCACTTTCATGGGAATTTCCTGGGGACATGAACAATGGATAATTAAATTGTGCTGACATTATAATGTGATGAGGACTTGTGGGGAGCACCAGTCTGGGATGGGGAGACAGACAGTTATTAAAGAATTACAACATGGCAATTATCACAGCTTTGGTGCTGGCATCTCGGGGGCTCCTGTGGGAACCCAGGGAGGCAAGGCCAACTCCCACGGGGCTGGGTGGGAGTGGGAAGAATCTGGCTTTAAGAGAAGCTAAAAAAACTTTTAAAAATAAAATAAATTAAAATAAAAAAAGAACCTAAGGTGTTTTTACAGCCTGGTGAGGCAGGGCATGCATGCCTTGCATCCCGGCACTCAGGAGGCTCAGGCCTCAGCTACATAGTGAGTTCGAATCCAGCCTGTACAGTGAGCTAGCTTCCAGCTAGCCTGTGTTACAGAGTGAGTCCCAGACCACCGGGGCGACAGTGCAGGACTCAACAAAACCAGGGACAAGAGAGCTGGCTCAGCCGTTCCAGGCACTGGACTGCTCCTGAAGAGTTCAAATCCCAGGACACACACTGGGCAGCGCAAAAGCACCTATGACTTCAGCTCCATGGGGTTTGATGCAGTGTCTTCCGGCCTTTCCAGACACCTGTGCACCCGTGAGTGCACGAACACACAAACAAACACACACAACACACACTGCATGTTTTTGTAATTATATTTATGTACAGAGAACTTAGCCATGTTCATTTAATCAGTTTACTGGCGAGTTTGTTGGCCTTTGCCTTTTCCAGCTTGGCAATTTGAGCCACAGATTTAGGATGTGCCCCCCCCCTCCCCCCCCCGGCGGTGGTGGCTCTCATCGTATCTGATCCTGACAGCCTCCACCAGCTTGGCCAGAGCACCCTTGTCTTCCGAGTTAACCTGTGTGAAGGCGACAGCGGTGCAGGTCTTCCTGTGGGCAGCCGCCCAGCCTGGCCTCTCCCTTGATGATGCAGTAGGGACCCCATCTTTCCACACTGGGCAGGCAGCAAAACCACCAGCTCAATGGGGTCTACTTCACGGGCAGCCGCCACCAGCTGAGCCTTCTTGCTCTCCACCAAGGTGGTGACTGTATTGACCCCTGCTTGAAGGACAGGTGCTCTCGTAGTTGCGATGTCCCCTTCCCCAGCAGTTTTCTTCTCAGCTCGGGTCAGTGGCCTCTGCTTCTTCTCCTGCGTTGTCTCTGGCCTATACTTGTGGGCAAGCTGAAGCAGCTGGGTAGCTGTTTGGTGGTCCAGGGCCTGGGTGAGCTGGTTAATGGCAGGAGGTACTTTGAGTTGAGGTACTTTGAGAGGATGGCCTTTGTCGCAGCCTAATGTAGTGGGGCCATTTGACAAAGCGCATGAAATCTTTTTTGGGCTAGATAGCCTACCCAATGCTGAAATTCTTAGGCTTTTTCTCAAAGGATTGACCACCTTTTTGGCCTCCTGTTTCTTCACGATGGCAGGGGCCGGGGCCACCTTCTTCCCCTTGGCCTTCTTTCCTTTGGGCATCTTGCTGGGCTAAAGGGCCACACACTCAAATTTTTGATATTTGTTTTTAAACATGAAAACAAAACCAGAGGGCTGGTGAAATGGTCTAGTGGGTAGAGGTGCTTGCTGCTAAGCTTGATAGTCTGAGTTCCATCCCTGGTACCCATGAGGTGAAAAGAAAGAACTGACTCCCTGAGCTGGCTAAGACAAGGGTGTGAACTGTTCCAGTTTCTAATGCTAGCAGGCCCATCGGAGTCTGGAGGGCAGAGGTGGGTGTTTCTGGTTTCCTATACCTCCTTACAGTGAAAGGTAGAGACACAGTCCTGGATAATTATGGTAAAGGTAGAGTTTATAAAGGCTTTATAAACCTTATAGTTTATGAACCTGTAGGACTGTCATATTGCACATATGGCCTGACTCCAAGAGGCCAAGAAGGGAAGAAACAAATTTTAAAGTTGCAAAGCAAGGTCCCTAGTGATCTTTTGTGAATCATAAACATGGTACCCAACTCCCTTGACTTCACATAATGCTATGCTTTGCTTGAATGAAGGCCAGGGAGTATAATGGCGGCCGGTTTTTCATGCTGCAGCCACCATTCCCATGCCAATCTCTGGAATTTCCTTCACTGTTTCCTATTGTGCCTCCTTTCTCTGGTATTTTCTCTGTTCTAAGGGATCCTATAGTAATTCATTCAAACCCCAGAGTCATGAGAACCCTGGGAGTGGGCTTTTGGTGTTGTCGTTTTTTTTTTCTATACCCATGCATAATGAGTAAATGGGCCCAGGAGAGCAGCCCAGCCTGCCCTGGGTGACGCTGGGCTGCACAGAACAGGGTCCACCCAGCAGTGCCTGGCCTTGAAAGGCCATTTTGTAAAGCAGTTGGCTTGGCACATCTGGTACAACTCAGGCTTGTTTCTGGAAGCAAAGAACCTCCATCTGCCAGCACAGGAGGCACAAAGTGATCATATATGTATGTATGTATATGTGTGTGTGTATTGGTACACACACACACACACACACACACACACACACACATATATAAATTCATAAAAACAAAACAATTCATGCTCATGGTGGTGCTGCACGCCTTTAATCCCAGCATTTAGGAGGCTGAGGCAGTCGGATCTCTAAGTTCGAGGCCAGCATGGTGTAAAGTGGGTTCCAGGGCTACGCAGAGAAACCCTGAGGCTTGACTGGTAGAGTACTTGCTTGGCACACAAAGCCCTGGGTTCGATGCCCAAGCAACGCATAAACTGGGTGTGCGGTGCACACGTATCATCCCAGCACTTGAAAGGTGGAGGGAGGATTAGGAGCTCAAGGTTATCCTCCACTACATATTGAGTTCGAGGCTAGCCTAGATTACATAAGACCCTTTTCATGAAAAAAATTATTATCGACCCCGATCCTAAGCTCAAGGCTGTGGTCACGAGAGACAAGGCAGAATATTGGTTCCCACCTCCCTGCAGCCTACCAGCTTACAAGGAAGACCAAGCGGCTCTCGGCTTGAAACTCCCACCTAACTCCACCGTCCTGTGGCGAAGTGTGCAAACTGCATTCAGGAACTTTCCCAGAATTACTGGGTCGAAGCCCAAAGTTCAGTCCAAGCGCTGGTCTGAGAGTCACAGGACTCTATAACGGCAAGCTGCACTGAAAGCTTTAATCACAAGTTGAGGTCGATACACACCTGTTTTCCCGTCTTCAGCAAAACTGCGCCTGACGATGAACTCCACGTTCACTAATACTCGCGCAAGAGCAAAGACTTCTGGGAAATGTAGTTTCCGGCGCCAAGAGGTCCTGAACTGTGTGAACTTTATCCCTCAACTCCTTTTGCTTGCTTTTTCTTCCTTCCCTCCAGTGTCTCCCTCCGTTCCACCTTCCTTCTCTCCTATTTCCTTCTGTCTTTCCTTTTGTTTCTTTTTTATTTCTTTAAAATGGTTTTACTTTATACTTGCTGCTGCTCAGCTCTTTTCTCCACTTACACAGTCCAGGAGCTCATCCAGGGGGTGGTGCCTGCCACCCGCAGTGGGCGATTCTTCACACCTCAGGTTATACACTTAAGATAACACCTGTTCTCGAGGCATTCTAGATTCTGTCAGGTTACAACACCAACCTTCACATTCTGTCTAAAAACAAACAAACAAACAAACAAACAAACAAACAAACAAACAAAAACCCAGCCCCACCAAAAAAAAGGTTAAAAAGAGCTGGGCGTGCAGCTCAGAGGTGGAATGCTTGCATAACACACTAGGCAGTATGTTAGGTGTCCAGAACTTTAGACACGCAGAGCACTAGGAAGACCAAAGAGCCAGTGGCCACAGGGAATGGACAGACATTCAAGAATTCATCACAGATTTTATTAAATTTATTTTACTTTTACAAACACCAAAGTCACTGGCCTACTTGAGCAGGAGTTTCCGGTTTTGCCTGTATGTACCAGCCCTGGTCAGAAGGAAAAAGAGGAAGGTTAAAGGGGGCAGGTGGACATGCCTGCAATCACAGCACTTGGGAGGCTAAGACAGGAAGATTATCCTGAGTTCCAGGCTAGCCTTGATTATGGAATGAGACCATGTCTCAAGAAATCCAAACACTTGGATTGTGAGATAGCTCAGAAGGTAAAGAAAGCTGCCAACAAGCTTGCCAGTCTGGATCTGGTCCTCAGGGCCCACATGGCTGACAGTAAGAACAGACTCTAAAGAGTTGTCCTGTGAGTTGGGCGAAGTGCCCACACCTGTAATTGCAGCACTCAGGGAGGCAGAGGCAGGGGGATCTCTGTGAGTCCGAGACCAGTGAGGTCTACAAAGCAAGTCCAGGATAGCCAAGGCTACACAGAGAAACCCTGTCTCAGAAAAAAAGTTATCCTCTGATCTCCACACGCCTGTCTTAGCATGCACATGCCTACACTTCAGACACACATAATTGAGATAGATAGATAGATAGATAGATAGATAGATAGATAGATAGATAGATAGATAGAAGGGGCTCAGCCAGAGATATCATTAGTTTCAGATCAGGCCTGGGAGAATGTGGAATCAAGGGAACCAGGAGCAAGGAAGATGAACAGAAGGAGAAACGACAAAAGGACAGAAGCAGAGTACAATGACTGAATGGACAGCCATATCCCCGCCAAAGTTATGTCCCCCATTTTCTCACTGCCCAGCTCCCATCTAAGTGGCTGTATTTGGAAAAGTCTTTGTGGGTTTTGGTTCCACCTGTATCCAAACCCTGGTGTCATTCTGTGAGAAAGGCATGGTGTCACTGTGCCTGAGAAAACAACACACCTACCTGATGAATGCGAACTTAGATGCCGCTCGGTGGGGCCCAAAGGAACAGCCAAGTGAGGCTGGGAAGGGACTTGGTGGGTAAAGCGCTCTGTGGTACACGGAAGCCCCAGCACCAGATGAGATAGGGTGGGAGTGTACACCTGTAAACCCTGCACTCGGAAGGCGGAGGCAGGGGCCTCAGGAGTTTCAGGTCATTCTCAGCTACATCTACATCATGAGTCTGAGACTAGCCTGGGCTAGATGAGACCCTGTCTGAAAAAAAATCAAAGAGAACAAAACAAGAAGTAAGATGAAAGCCTGGCTGGCATCTCTGTTGTCAGCTTTCATCATCTCTCTTGTTTACCTGCTTACCTGTGCGCATAAAGGAATTGCAGGAATTGTTTACCGGGAACCTGGTCAGAGCGGCCTCTCTCTCTCACTGACAAATTGAAGAAACAAAGCTAAGGGTGGAACCTGGTCAGAGCGGCCTCTCTCTCTCACTGACAAACTGAAGAAACAAAGCTAAGGGTAACTGAGATGCCTTACTGCTGACTGTTTACAGTCCCGGCCCACACCAGCCCAAAGGTCTCTTGGTCATTGTCCCGAGCCTTGGTCACCTTGGAAAACAGGAAGATGGCAGGGATGGGTTCGCTGGAGAGATGGCTAAAGGGTTAAGGGCATTAACTTCGCCGAGGATTAACTCGATCCACCTATATGTCGGATCACAACCATTTGTAACTCCAGTCCCAGGAGACTCAGTGCCCTCTTCTGGGCGCTAGGCAGGCATAGGGAGCACAAATTTACATGCAGGCAAAAACCTTATACACGTGAAAATAAAAGCAGCTCGTCCTGAGATGATCTCACTAACAGCGGTGATCTCATGGGAGCAGGCTTGTTCCCTCCCACACACCGCCTTGAAGAAGCAGGCCTGAGACTAATGACCCAGCCAAGCACACCTTGACAGGACCTGCTCTTGGCCCTACCCATACCCCAGGTCCCCCACTGTTTAAATGAAAATCTCTAGTCACTAGATTGTGGCTGCAGCACTTTAATTTCATCTTCTGGTCACCGTGATGAGAATGCCTCACTTCCTGTTCACCAAGGGTTCCTGTTGGCTCCCCTTAGAGGAGAGCGGCTTCTGGCCCAGGACTCCAGTTACATGAAGTCAGACAGAGGCGAAGATTGGCCAGAAATTACAAGCTAAGGAACATCCAGCATTGCCAGCAGCTAAAGGCAGCTGAGACACAGCTGTGGGACAAGCAACCCACCCACAGGGTCTCCCTTGCTGATAGGGTGTCTGACCTACAAATTCAGTCCTTTACATGTTTTTACATTTATTTATTTATGTGTGTTGGTGGATGCCGTGACATGTGTGTGGAGGTCAGTGGAGGTGTGGAAGCCAATATTCTCTTTCCACCACGAGAGTCCTGGAGAGACAACTCAGGTTATCAGGCTTTATCCACTGAGCTGTCTAGACAGCAATAGATAATAACCTCAAGGGATGGGATTTAAACATAGGCCTCAGGATGCTACTCAAATGCTCTACCACTGAGCCACACCCCAAACCCCTCAGTGGGGGATTCTAGGCAGGGGCTCTACCACTGAACCATGGCACCAGACCCTCACTGGGGGATTTTAGGCAGGGGTCCCAGCCCTCCCAAGAACAAATTTCTATGGCTCTAAGTAATGTCATAGG